TTGAAGGCAAAAGAGATAGGGATTATTCTGAGGCATATTTTCACTTTTTCTTATGCAGTGTAAGAGAGTACTGGCTCTGAGGAGGCTCCTATTGGAGGAAGGATAAGGCAAGGGAATGGAAGTAGGAGGAGGCAACAAGTTTTCCACTGTCAGCTTCCATAGGCCTGAAAAATAAAACACCTTTTGCTTATCTGAAGAGCACATACAGTTTATATAGGCAAGTGTCATTGTTTATTTTCAGCGTATAAATAAGTTGCTATGGAAGGTGGGCATAGCTGCTTGTAAGTCTGTTATGGGGACTTTACTCTTAAAGTAAAGTCCCCATATTACCCCTTATTACCCCTTATTACCCCTGTCCTTTATGTTGTGAGTGGGTTAGGTCTTCAGCAAGGGCATCTTCTTTTTCCAGACCTTAATTGAAAAACTTAGCAGAGTGTTTTAGAACTGACTTAGGAACTACAAATGAATGTCACACCAGACTGATGTTTTTGAGTGTTGGCATGGCTCTCCAAGCACTTCTGCATGGTCTGTTGTAGGATTTGTTGTTATGAGAAAAGATTCAGCTGTCCGAAAAAGAAAGCAGGGCACAGACAGGTGGGTACTGACCCATCAGATCCATGGTTTGGCAAGAAAGCACACAAAGAGGCTTCTGAACTTTTCAGGCTATGGTCTCACTGAATCACTCAGAAAAAGGAAAATAATTTATCAGTAGCTTACATTTGCTATAGTTAGGCTATAGTGTCCTCTCAGGGTGCACAGAGACAGATGCCTATGTGAAAGGTACAAGAAATATTTTCACAGTCAAATAAGGATGAGATTCTCAGTGGAACTTTTCTTCTAAATTTCAGCAGCAGCTAGTTCATGTCCTGGGGCACGATCTCTTTGTGTAAACATTGCTTCACTTACATAGTGTAATAAGAGATGAATATCTTGATGTCCCTTTAACTTGAAAAAGTCTGGGTAAAGTTGCTTATTTCCTCCTATTTCTGGTCATTACTCTTTTAAATGTGTGACAGCCAGTCTTGCTTTGTGCACAGCAATCAGTAAGTGTGTGGCCCTGTTATTCGTGTTCTGCTAGTCCACTAGTCCATTAATGGAGAACAGCACTGAACGTGGGATGCCTGTGTGATCAAAAAATTGCTCTGGCTAATCCTCCGTGCACTGCTTTTTAACAACAAATATCAGTCAGTCAAGAAATGAGCAAGACAGCCACAGGAATTCTCTTTTTTCCCTAATTTTACAGATTTTAGGAAGTGGGGGGGGGGGGGGGGTTTGTTCTTTATGCATACAAATTTCATTTTGCTGCACAGCTTGAAATGCTGATGTTTCAATATGGGTAATACTGACTCTTAAGCCAAATATAGAATTTTCTGAAACTTGTCTTGGGGCATGGACATCACATCATCCATCAGGGAAATCAAGCTTAACTCAGTCCTCAAATCTGTCTTAGCTCAAAAATGAGAAAGATCAGTGGACCTAAGCAGACATTTATTTGGCTTATTGAATGGCTGAGCAGTTGATAGACCTGAGAAATTGGTATGCCACAGGGAGGAAAGGACCAATACAATTTCTGGTAGGAAGTTTTGTTGTAAGTATGGGGAAGTTTTATAAAATCTCATGCTTTTTAGAGTAATGTACACCCCTTACAGCAATGGTTTTATAAATGAAGGATGATGATAATAATTCTAAGGCCTTTCTATCTTGTTAGCAGAAATCAGCAGAATCTGGAGACTGAAAGGGCTTACTGGTGGGTCCTCTCTCCTTTATTTCCCAACATCTACAGTTACTCTAACTTCAGTGTTATTTTTCCAAGTATTAGCTAAGTGCCCTAGCTTCAACATGGAAATTTATTTTATTTGTGTCTGAAACTCATCTTACATAATAACTGTGTCACAACATTGATATACATTGAATTGACATGATATTCATTAATTTTTCAGCTCATTGCCCCTTGGTTATTAGCAGACAGAGAGAATTATGCAGTAGGTATGCTAAACATTTGAGCCTCTCCTGTTTGATACTAGATAAACTGGCTTAATGCTTGCTGATCTTGTGTGTGAAAATAAACATGTTTGGTGACGTCCAGCTAAGTAGAAGGTATCTTTTCCTACTGGACAATGACCTAATCACTCCTGCTTCTAACTTCCAGGTCAGACTGATTATTTTCTTCAGTGCCGAAAGGAACATTTCCCAAGTTTGCCAATGAGACTCTGACCGTCCCTTTGTGTTTTCCAGTTTACTTTTTTTTTTTTTTAAACAGGTGTGAACCAACTGGGAATTTGGTTTTAAGGGAAGGGAGGTGCTCAAGCAGAGCCACACAGTGCTGACGTAACGCAAAAAGAGGAGGTATCCAAACCAGCCTTGAAGAATAGTTTTGAAAAATCCTTTTAGGAGATATATGCTTTAGAAGAGCTGTGTTCCTGTTTCCTGACTTCCATAAGTATAAGACCACCAGGAGCTGCATGTTCCCAGACCATGCAATTCAAGATCATAGAGACCTCACTTTGTAAAGTCTCTCTTTGCCAGTCATTGCTGTGCAGCATACAGCTACATAAACACATTTGTTTGCAATCCTCACCACTTCACACTTGCTTGTTTAGTTTCTGATGGATTGGTAGCAGAACACTTCATGTCTGGGAAGTCATACTCAGTCACAAAAGAGTTGCGGTCTCTGCAGTACTTCTCAAAAAAACTTTGGAATGTATTTCTCACATGAAGATCACGGATGGATTTTGCTTCTGAGATGGCTATAATAATCCCCTCTTTGGTCTGTCTTCAAGACATATCATGTAGTAAAGAGCTGAGCTAATGTTCTCCCCCCCTCAACTCCCTTTCTGAGTGCTTTACTCTCTGCTGGTGTTTCTACTGTTTTTCAGTTCCTAATGTGCCAAAAGAGAACAGCTCGCTTTTGACAGTGAAATCACATTTGCAGAAATTGACAAAAGAAAACATTTGTCTTTATCTTGTTCCTGAAGACACCTACTGCCCCAAAATATGCCATCCTCTGTATTAGTTTTCTCAGTTATCCTGTCTCATGTTGTGGATGGATTCTCTCTACACCTCCACACCCCTTTCCTCCTGTCCCTGGCATGGGACAGAGAGGAAAAGTTCAGAAAGATATACCATTTGCACTGTTTATTTATAGCTGAGAGGAAAACAAATGGAGAGCTAAGCAAATCATGAAAGCAGATTTTCTGCCACACACAAATCAGACTGGAACTGTAACACAGCCAACATGCTTAAATCCAAAATACTGCATTTCCATGGAGTGGGATCAGATTAGGGAAGAAAAACATTCAGGTCTAAAGCTTAGCTAAAATGTCTGGTAGAAATGGAAGCTGACAAGGGCTCCTCCTCTGCAGAGAGCTACACCAGAAAAGAGAAAGCAGAGTGTGCTGCAAGCAAGTGATTCGGATGTCAGAAAGGGCACTGCTTCTTCTCCTGCACACAACTAAACCAGCACTAGGGCTACCTCGGTGGGGCAGACACCACGAGGGGATATTTAGACCTGGAAGTGAAACATAAGCTCCACTTGGAGATATTTATGCAGACTGGCCAAAACAGTGTTAAGATTGAACTGAAGCTAAGTTATTTTCTGAAATACTGCCTTCAGCTGTCTCAAAAATCTCAAGGCAGTGATAGAGATGAGCAAATTATTTTGCCCTCTTTCAAATAAAATCTTGCATTGCATTTTGGAAACTATATGGGAAAAGGAGCATGGGGCAGGATGAGAAAAAAGAATGCAAGAAAAGCAGCTGTGTAAAACTGGAGCAGATACTGGAGAGCATAAATGACAGCTTAACAGACTAGAAAGATAGTGAAGCACAAAGGAGATACCAAAGACAGATACATGCTATATATAAAAAGTTAAACCAGATTAGAAAATAAATTTTAAAACCAAACAGAAACAATTGGCATTGCCTAAATTCTTATCTCCACACTCTGTTTGGCCTGTGATTGTAATTTAAGTAACAAATTTGTATGTTGGGAAGATAGCTACATACAAAATATTTTTGTGACTCGTGATGTTTCCTTTAGGGTGCATAGTCTTTCTTTTGTTCCCTCCTCCAAGTTCCTTCTTTCCTTTCTTGCTTGAAAGAACCTTTCTGCATTATCTACTTTCTGAGCAGTGTCAGTGAGAGAAACATTGTTTATTTATCATGAGGAATTAGCAGAACAGCCAAGTACTGTTACAAGATCCCATTACTTAATACACAGCTACGCATATGCATAACCTATGTGCAGATTCCCAGTGCCTGGAGAAGGAATGTATGATCCATTGGTCCACACTGATCCTAGAATTGTCACTGAAATTAACTCCTTCTTGTAAAAGTTTATTATGTTTAAAGTAGAAATAGAGAGAAATTTCACCCAGTTCTCATGAAAATAAATTCTCCTAGCAAAATGAGAGGTATTTAAATGTGGATTTCTCTTAAGCAAACAAGTATTTGCAAACTTACTGCTGGATTTTTCATAGGGGAACAGTCCAGCATTTAGTCCCCCTGGGAAGCTTATCCTCACCTTCTGAAATATATGAATAAATCAATATCCTTTTGCAATCTTATGGGTGGCTAAGCTGAAGTAAAACCTTCACTCGTTGGGCAGCATAGATGTAGTCAGTGCTGTAGATATGGAGTCTTTGATCATGATAAAACACCTCTTTCAATCCTGAGGAAGGCCGGAGCATTTGTGGTGTAAATGCAGAAAAGCAATGCAAGAGAGCATGTGTAGGGTGGTTCATCTTTCTTAGAGCTGATTAAAAATTAGACAAAGAATTTACTTTTTGGAGCATGAGTCATTTTGATTAAACATTAAACTGTAAAATCAATCTTCTGATTGTTTAGTCATTATTCCAGAGGAATGGAGATTTATTTACAGTCTCTTTCATTAAGTACCTTTACTGCCCCTTCCACAAGTTACAACATTTTTCAGGAGGTTACAGTAACTTTATGCATAAACCAGTATTTCTTACCAGACACATATAAAATATATTTACTTACATTATCTATGAACTGGACCATAAGACTGTGAATCAGGAGGTCCATGTGCAAATCATGTCAAAGATAGTTGTATCTCTCTGGTTTTTGTGAGAAGGTAGATCTGTGGAAGGGACAGGCTTTTGTTAGAGAAGGGTTGAAAAAATAAATTGGGCTTTTATTTACATAAGTGCTCATTATGCTGCTGAAGGGCTTATTATTTGATCCTAATAGCATGAACTTCAGGATTGTTGTGGAAATTCTTTAATCATTATGTGGCTACAATAATTGTGATACCCGTGATATTCTCTTTTTCTGAAAGGTTTAAAGAAAGTCATGTTTCAGGAAAGACTGTTCCTAAGCTGTGAAAAAGAGAACTCTAGTCCCTACTCATAATCAGGCTGTAGGAAACACGTTGCTCGTGTCCAAAATATTCTATCAGGATTCTTATCTCAGGTTCAACATGCAGTGAAAATCTAGACCGGGATATGTGCATCATATTTACTGAGCAAATCAAAATGGAGTTCTTTCTTCTGCCAAACTGGAGATCTTTGCTTCTGCAGCTCTTGTGAGAGAAATATGCATTAGCCACTACAGGCACATTCATTGTCTGTTGGTTTGCACATGTGCAACTGACGGCAAAACGGAGACGTTAGTCCCAGAAACAGAGAGTGCTTTTGTGGATAAGGTGGGAGACTGAGTGTTGACTGCCCACTCTGTTGATTGTACATATGCAAATCTGAGTTGGATAATAATGTTTGGTCTGGGGAATTTTGCTTGAATTTAACACCCAAATATGGAATCAGGGAAGCGTACTGAGAGGAAATTTTTTATTAGACATATGTTGTGCGTGCGTGTTTGTGCATATGTATTCAATGGTGGTGTTATATATACTTTTTGTATATTAGCTAGATGTAGATGAAAAGAATGCTTTTTAAAAGGTTTAATTTCTGGGGTGTTGAGAGAGAAAGAATGGATCAATTTATAAAAAGAACATACAGTAACAGCAAATCAAACTGACAGTTAAAAACCCTATAAAATTTCTAGCACATTAGGAAAGCATTATGTATCTCATTACATTCAGGCTATAGGAACAGAGCAAAGAAAAGATGGCTAATTACACATGCTCAAACAGAGCACTTTGTGCAGATTGGATAGGATCATGAAATTAATCAAGTATACATGTTGAATTAGCCTTCAAAGGGCAGAGAAAAATAAGCAGGACATGTGTGAAACTTATCTTCCCCCAAAAGCAAGTACACTGTACAAATTAATGTCTGCATCAAGACACTTTGTCAGCAGTTGACAAGACTTTCACACGTGCTCCTGTCTCCCTAGGTGTATTAAATCTCCCTTTTTCTGAAAGAACTTATGAAGTTGGGAAAGAAGCATGTGATCCCTTACAAAGGACATTTGGAAGTCAACCAAAGAGACCTTGTTATGAGTCTTTTTTGATAAAATGTTCAATCCTCTCCCCCATGCCTTGCCTATTAAGAAAACGACATGATAGAGAACTTGGCAGAATATTGAATCTGAACGTGTGTGAGACTTCAACACCCCCAATGGCTAAACTAGCTCTGCTGCTGAGAAGCCAGAAAAAGTGTCTCCTCCATTTGTATCTCTGGGGAGCTTAAAAAAGTTTTTGGATTTATGTGCTTTATTGCTTTTGTCACTGACTCAGAAAGTATTTGCTGCTTTAATTTGATTACAAAGACAAAGGGGAGATTTTTTTAACTTCTCAAATTATATATCTTGCACATATAATTTTACATCTTTTCTCAAAAGATCCTCTGCTAATGCAAAAGACCTCTATTTTGTCACAAAGTGAGCTTTGCAAAAGTCAAGTTACTATAACAACCAAGTACATCTTTTCAATCAGAAAGCATGCTCTTATGCTGGTGCTCCTCTTTCTTTTAGAATCATAGAATCTTTTATGTTGGAAAGGACTTTTAAAGCCATTGAGTCAAATCATTATCCTAACATTGCAAAGTCCACTGTGTTTGTATAAATGCTACATCTACATGTCATTGAAATACTTCCACTCCACCATTTCCCTGGGCAGCCTATTCCAAAAGGCTGGATAACATAGACAGATACCCTCACAGATGAGCACCAGGTTTACATACACTTAAAAAGTTTCACAGTTTGTATATGTATTTGAGAGACATGCAACATTATGCAGACATATTCCTTTCCTCATCTCTACAACTAATCTAGAAATGAAAGCAAGAATAGAAGAAGAAATTTGCTTAAAATTTTTCCTGTACCAAAATGCTTATGTTCTGTTTAATACGGCCCTTCTGAAAAGCCAGTGGAGAATATTAAGTGAGATCATCTTTGGGTGAACTGTATTATTTACCTTTGTGGCTGGGATCCCACTGTACCTCTCCTTTCCCTCTCTGTGCTGTGGCTTCTCGAAGCTGCTGGCAGCTGATGGAAGAAGAGCAATCTTCAGACAACTTTGTATATATATAACTGAAAACAATTTTCAAAACAGAGGCATGGGCGAAATTGTGTAAATTATCTTCTCCCCACTTTCCTCACAAATTGCTCTCTAAAGTCCTTAAAAGTACTAAGAATTGGACCCTCTAACTGAAATGAAAAAAACACAGTGTAGTACAATTTAGTTTATGACCTATCTGTTTGCTAAGCACAGTTACCTTTTTAACTTTATAATTTGCTGTCTGAAAAAATACCAATAGTCTTAGAATTACATTGTCAAAAATGGAAAACTGGCACAGATGAATGCACACAAAAAGCCACAGCATGCGACTCAGCCTTGACCCTCTCCCATTCCATCTGTTCTCCCCAAGTAAATTATTACAGTGTGGGCTCTCTACTTAAAGTGCTGCTGCTTGTGAAAGAAAACAAGCTGGGATAAGCTATTAAGAAAATAGTGCTATTTTGGCTTTAAGGATTAAGCAGGGAAAAAACTTCATTTAAGCTACTCAGAGATTTTTAAACCTGGAATTGGTCTTCCCTGGTGTCTATTAAATGAATAAGCCCCCAACCTTTCTCCAGAAATCTGTCAGAACTTAGAACGAAAAGGTTTTGATGTATGCCATAATGGTTGGTTTGGGAGTGGTTGAAGACTGCAGGAGTGAAAATACTGGGAAAAAAGTCTGTCCTCTGGGGCTGGACTGTGCTGGAGAGAATCTGCTGGAAACAACCACTGTGGTACAGGAACTTTTCCATGTCTCCTAAAGTGCAGATTGAGACCTGAAAAGCATAAGTGCCTTTATATGTGCATCACAATATTTTGGATGAATTGTTCCATGTTGCTGTGTGTGCATTTGTCAAGCTGGACTGTGACCTTCCTTTATGGATGTGAGCAAGGGATTTGGAGCACAAGATGAGAGGTGAAAGAATGAAGAGCTGGAAAAGGGTAGCTAAGATGTGATCTTTTTGCTCTGGCGCACTGCTAAAGGTCTGAAAAGGAAGCCTACTGCCAGTGGTTGGTCAAGTGAGAGCACACTTACTAGTGTGCTCTGCAAAACAGGAACAGAACATCAGGCAGCATTTAAGATTTCAGGTCTGTGAAGACATTGCATTTTCTGTCTACTGCACAGAAGAAGAAGAAGGACAAGTCCTCATACTGAGTTGACAAAGGAGGTGGGATTAAAAAAGAGGGAATCAGTAGTACTTTTTCCAAGTTTACTGAGGTAAAAAGTGAAAACCCAGTTGAGATTCTTGCCTGTAATAATGCAGAAAAGGAGAAAGAGAAGAGCTGATATGCATTCAACATTACTGATCCCAAGAAGACTGTAATAGGCTTCATAATGGAAATGAAGAAGTAGTAGAAGTCCTTGATAAGATGGAGGATGCACATATGATGTTCCCTACAGAATGGGAGTCAGACATCAAGGATGCTACTTTGGGAAAGGCATTATGATTCTTCTTTTGTTGGGAGATATAGAAGGGAAAGGGCTTGCTTCTCTGCAATGGATGTTAGATCACCCCTACTCCAGAAAGGTAATTCAAATTGGAAAAGATAGGAAGGAAGGTTACTAGAGTAACTAAGAAAATGGAGATCCTTATCTTACAAACAGAGATTAATAGGATATGCTTTCTTTAGAATAGTAGTATTAAGGATAAGCAGGGATGGGTGCCATCCACACACACATATCAAGACAGTAAACACTACAGAAGGATAAAAAACACGTTAAGACAATGAATGATGATGATAAATGAACAAAAGATCTATGCTATCTGTTAATGAGAAAAATTTAGAAATTAGAATAAAGTTTTCAACTGTCAGGGCAATGCAGAAAACCACTTCTTGAAGGTTTTAAAAAAGAAATTTGGTAGATTTATGAAAATAATTATTTGACACCTTGTTAATGATTTAGAATGCTGTCCCTGATGGACCAGACTTGCCTGCCTAATGGCATGTTCCTGGAGTGAATAGATTAGTATGTTATCAAGCTAAGATCTCTGCCCTCCTTACACTGCTTTGGAAGCGTAATTGACTGACTAATTAGAGCCAAGGAAAATCATTTGTATGACCACTGACATCCGTTTACAGGTGAGATTCCATAAGATCTCGTTTAGTCTTAGAGAAAAGCAGGCAAATAATGAGAGAACTATACAGAAAAAAAAAATTAAAAGGATCAAATGAGATAAGCAAATAGTGGAACACAAGTAAAAGTTCTTAAGATAGAAATTTAATGGTGTGGGCCTGAAGCTGTGCTCAGGCTGAAACTTCCCATGTATAAGAGCTCACAGATGACAATTTGTGCTCAGGTGAAAACTGAGTGAGTTTTATAGTGTAGGTGAAGCTCAAGACTGGGCTATTTTTTTCATATGGGGCTGAGCTGTTGCATGGTGTTTTCTTGACTAAAGTCGACTTTAGAATCTGTCTTTGCAGTGACAGCAGGTGACTAGTGTGGAGTTAGTATGCTGGTCACAGAAGTCCCCCCAGGAAGGTGCTATGTTGTATTTGGCACGAGAAGACTGCGCTGGTGGGTAGAGAGGGAATAACACTAACATTCCTTCTGTGCTACAAGTGTCCTGTCCTCACTCCCTGGCCTGTAGTCCTTACATATCACAGAGATATCCATGCAAGATGTCTTCAAGATGTTTAGAGAACTTGCGTCTCTAGCAGGCCCAAAGGGTCTTAGTGGAGCTGCTGGATGAAGGAGGAGAGCTACAGAGAGCATTATTATGTCAGTGACCAGATGGACTTCACCTTCCCTGTGGCCCAGCCTCAGTATAATCCTGGCAGTGCTGACAAGCAGCAGGCCTAGGTCAGAGAAAGGTGAATAGATCCCACTGCTGTGGAAGTAAACCATTTAGAGGCTAGTAGCATATGCAAGATGCTGGCAAGAAAAGCAGCAGAGTGTCTTGCCAAGATAACCCAGTACATTAAAATATCCTCAGCTGAATGTGATCAACATCTATTGTGTGTGTTGCCAAGACCCCAGTATGTTGAAATGAAGATGAAATGTTTCCAGGAAAAGACATTACTGATGGGTGGTACCAGCAGCTGGAAATAACTATCTGAGTAATAGAAGTAGCCATGTGGAGGAAGAAAGGTAGCACACTGGTATTAGCTTCTTGCATTTTTTGTCAGGAATATGCCAGTGGTCCACAAAAGTACTGAATGGGGTGTGTTACAACAGGCAGTTGAAAGATTCATCTTGCAATCGTGAATAGACCTCAAAAAGTAAGCAGCAGAGGAGATTTATTGTAGAATTAGCTGTGGGTGTAGAGTGAGGTTTATTTTAAAGGAGTGAATGTGAGTTTCAGTGGGGTTAGGAGTTATGTTCATTAGCTGCATTAGAGTTTAGGGGGCTACAAACTTCTAAAAATTTGGTGTGACTGAAACTATTAACTTTTTTCACAGGAGTTTGGTTTGATGGCTGCATTGAAAAAAAATCCACTTCATTCCCAAATTTGAGCTTGGAAAATACTTTGGTAGGGACTGAGATCAGGCAGCTGAAAAAGATGCAGCAGAAGTGAGACAAGCTTGAGAAACTTTATCTGGGACATTTCTGAACTCTCATATTGAACAGAGTGAGATAGGGTTTAAATAACTCAAATGAAACTTGGTTAGATACTGTATACATTACAGCTAGTCTCAGATGAACTCTTTATACTGGAGCACCAGATTTGTAAAAAATTATTTCCTACTTATAGGAATGAAATGGAAAATACAGGGAGTTTTAGAATTGATTGACATCTTCATGGTACAGTTCTGCAAATCTGGCTGAATATTTTGGTCTTTATATGACAGTAGATCTTTTCTGAATATACGTCTTTAAATATATGTTTCAAAGATACAGAGGCTACAGGTTTTGTAAACAAACTTATCCAGTGCCTAATCTCTTGCTATGGAAGCCTTACAGACTCAGGAGTTTGTAAACTCTAGAGTCTCACAGAGTCCAGAATAAGTATGCAGCCTCCCTGGAGAGTATGACATGTGTCCCAAAGTGGGATTGGGGACCCTTGGAGAGTTTCTGCGTGGGCAAAGGGCAATTACTGCCCAGTGCCTGTGAATTTTCACAGACTCTCCTTAATTCACTCACAGGGATGTAGCCCCAGAGGCTAAACTTGGAGTTGCTGATGTAGTTTTGGTTCAGTTCTTGTTCTTTAAAACTCAAAATTATGGTCTAACCCAAAACAAAATAAAAAATACAGGATTACAGCCCTATATACAGCTGTGGGAGAAGAAAATCCAGAAAGCTTTGATAAATATATTAGATGCTTAATTGTTCAATTTAGTGCTTGATTGGTAACAAAATCACATATGGTAATAAGGCTGTCTTTTTACTATTATAAGACACTTTGGGACATTTTGAATATGCAGTGTGCAATGGTATATTAAACCAAATTGTAGTTCTGTATTTGACAATTTGGCTTTGTTAGCATAATACAATTTGTTTTTATTGTAGCAGTAAAGGAGGAAGCATGTTGATAATAGTTTACTTTCATTATCCATTTATATTGCTTCTTCCTACTCAATATTTTATTTTTTAAGCAAAAAAGAGAAACTTTACAACCAAAGGAGCTGACTGAAGGGAAAAAAAAAAGAAGAAAAGAAATCCCAGTCTGATTAGTTCTGTTTTCAATAATATTTAGTAAGGAGATTGTTGAAATAAAAACACAACTATAATATCCATCAACTCTTCGCATATTCCAAATATGTTTACAGGAAAGACTAAATATTATATTTTAAAATCAGCATGATAGTAAAAAGTTATTGCATTTGTGATGCTCTCAGAATGTAGGAGGGAGATGGTTTAGAAGATATTATATCTTTTATTAGGTCAACTGCTATAACTGAAAAAAAAAAAAGAGGAGCATATGAGATCTGCTTGGTTTTTCCTACCTGTATCGGTCTTGTCTGATAAAAGGTATTGTTTCATTCTTCAGATATTGCTTCTTTTATATATCTCCATGCAAAATCTTGCTAAAATACCATTTGCATCTTGCTAAGGTATTATTTGCCTCTCATATCCCTTAGTCTCTTCCATTACATTCAGCTAACCCTAGATCTGTTAATTTTCTTTCAGAGCCCAGTCCTTCCTTATGCACCTGGATTTTTGCCATCTGCATGGGTGGCCATGGACAGCTCTGCCACTCCCTTTCTGCTGCTGATGCCTAGTCTTGCTTTTCTCACAATCAGCTTTGTCTCAATTTTCCTCAGTGTCAGCCTCAGAAAAAAAAAAAAAAATCCCATTTCTATTGGTGGTGTGCTGACTTTCTCTGTGTTTTGGCTGTAATCCGAAGGTGGAAGGCACACCAGGAGCAGGGTGAAATGGAAATGTCCTTTTGGTTATCTATAATTGTGCTCCAATTGCACATTTCTCTCCTACTCTGGGCTCGCTGTCCCCCATAGGGGCATTTGTAAGGGCACTGGCTTCTGCTGAATCTGTGTCTGGGAGATGCCTGTGTAGTGGTGTGGTCCATACTTAATTTATCTGATGGTGGGTCCTACCTGCCAGCAAGGAAGGAGTAATTGCAAGTGTGACTTAAAATATGTGGCTGTGCATCCTCTGCATCCTTCAAAAGGAGATAATATCTGCACTTTGGTATGCTCCATTAACCAGCCTTTTGAAATCCCATCTTAGGGCTTTGAGTTGCTCTTTTTGCAATGTAGGCATAGTCTGTTCAGCTCTTAGCTTCGGTCAGTCATTAAATAAGATAGAGTTTTTCAGCTAATTAAAAAAAATCTAGCAGGAGAATGTAGACTTCTGCAGGATGTACAATTAACCTTAAGTGAGTGAGGAAGGGAAACATCAAATTAACAAAGCAGCTGCCATTATACTGTTGCCATGCTTGGCTTTCCTCTCCATGTTAATCGGACAGATTTTTACATGATTTGAGAAGTTTAGCTGATTTGCTGTATCAGCAGAAAGCAGAATCTCACCGAGGAGATCACAGTGTTTCCAAAAGCCTCTGAAGGAATTTATAGCTTGTGAATTACAAAAGCAGCCCTAATTAGTCCCAAGAGGCAGTTGCATGAGAAAAACTGAAAAGACTGCCTCATCATATTTGCTGCCTTCTTGTGATTTTCATAGAAGATTCTGACAATGATTGTTTACTAACAACTGGGGCTCAGAAGCTCCGTGGCTAATAACAGTCCTGAATAAACGGCATTCTGTATTTGCAGTCCCACGAAGATAGGTCGGATACTGGTGTTTCTGCCATGTGTCAATATTGCCAAAGGAGCACAGAGGTTTCAGCTGGAAGATTCTGTAGCCACCTGGGAAATGCCTGAAGGAAAAAAAATGTCCTGATAGTCTAGCAGTAGCCAAATCACTTGACAATGTGTCATCCTTCAGTAGTCTTTTTTGGTTTTTTTTTGGTTTTTTTTTTTTTTTTGAGGTGTAGGTTTTGTTTTAATCTCTGGAGGTATGAATTCTTCTTGGTGATTTTCTAATGTGGTATGTTCCAACATTATGGTAATCAAAGAAGTTTTGCTATGGTATCAGTGATTACATGGGGTGTGGAGCAGGGATATGGGTGAAGGCAAACCGTTACTCTTGAATGCTTTTTAGGTCTTACCATTCCTTACCACTCCCTGCCACATTCTCAGATTATAAAATGATGCAAACTAGCTGCATACAAAAATCTAAGGAGCCTGAATTTAGAAATTCCCTTGTGTGGGATCAGTTGTATAGTGATTATAGGGTGAGGCCCATTGAGAAATGGCAGTCTGAGAGCTCCCTAATCTGTGACAAAGTTGTGAGTTTCATAACTTATGAATTACGAGTTATGAATCTAGTAACAATTTTCTTGCTATTTGCTTTGAAAGCAAATGTGAATTCATGCAGTGGCTACCTTAGGCTTTGCAGACCTGAATGCCTTGATTTACCAGTCATTAGGAACACTTTTATTTGCTATTTACCTAAAATCCCTCAGGTCAATATGCATAACTCATTGGCACTGTGAATCAATAGGTTTGAAATTATATGAGATATAAGAAGTTATCTTCTTAATCCCATAATTTAGAGTTGCCATCAAAATATTGATGTTTCTAATTTCTTATATTGGGGCAAAGCTTTTTGAGAGTAGCTTTTCTGAAGTAAATATTTTCAAATGTGAAAACCCACAGTTAGGCATTGTGTATAAGTACTCAATTTTTCACTAGCAATGAAGAAAACAAAGTGACTATGGAAATCAATGGGGATTGCTGGAAGTTCTGTATTTTTTTTTTAATTGGGTTGTTTATTTGGTTACTTTTATATGGATTTATGTGCTTGTCATTAAGCTTCCAAGTACAAAACTCTTGGCCTCGGGTAGTTTGTGATTTCTCTTCTATTTATCTTGATTAGTTGAAGATTGCAAATCCCTTACAGGAAAGTGAAGAAAATGTTAATTCTCTTCACTAGTGAAAAAGAAATATTTGAATTAACACCAGATGATTAAAGAGTTTTATTAGTTTTAAAGGTGAAACAGTACCTCAGAGGTTCAGGGGAGAAAAGTAGGGAAAGAAAAAGAAAAGATATGCACGGTAGGAAGAGAGATCTGAAAACTGTAAAATGAGATTAACAAGAGTATTTCTCATTTAAGGTTTATGTTTGATCACGAATTAAAGGCTTTGGAACCAAATAAATTTGCTTTTTTAAAAATTTTTTTTTTATTTTTAGTTAGTTTTATTTTTAATTGTAAATTCAATGGCAGGATTCCTGATCAGCATTCAGGCGAAGTACTTAGCAAGATGAATTGGGTTTTCTGAAAAGATGTGTGCAGAACTATAATACTCCCTATTTCTCAGTCATGGTCTTTGTTATGTATAAAGTGGTCTCTGATTGACTGAAACACAGAACACCTGAGATCACATTCCTAAAGTGTGCTGAATGCTGTTGAAGCTCATTGACTCCTTTAATCAGCACCTCATGCAAACACACTTCAAAAGATCAAAAAGCTGCAGGTAAGTAACAATTAATTGAAAAATTTGCACTCTGCTGCACCAATAGATTTATTTGATAGGATGATTGTCTATGCTGTATATTTCTTTAAATACAAATAACAGAGTATTAGCACAATATCTTTGCTCTTATTCTAATAGAGGGTAAGTGGTGCTTTTGCAATGGTATTTGTTCATTAAATACTCAGGAAAGGTGATCCATTTTGCCACTGCATGATGTTCTAACAATATGTAGTCCTCAGGCATTAATTCTGCAATTTATGTGCTAAAAAGCATATTTTCTAGGCCATTAAATAAAATACGTAAAACATTGAATGGCTTTGAATATCTGATTAAAAGCCATTCAGCCCCATATTCCACTGACAGTGAAATGCCATACTAACATCCCTTTATTGGATTAAAACATGACTGCTCAGAGTCTGCATGTGCTGTGCTGAAAGAATTGCACCAGGACCTGTTTGATCACTGTAGCAAGAGAGAAAGGACCATGATAAAATCTTGATCTATGTCTGATCCCTGAAACCATATTGGCTAATTGACGAGGTCAGCAGTATGTACAGGCTCTAGTAAGAGAGAATTATATCAGGAGTTATGGAATGACCCTTCAGATAGACCCTGTGATTTTGGTGTACTTGCTTCTGCCAACAGGCTGCCCAACTGGCACTTGTCAGGTGATGACCTTGCAAAAGATGAAACAAAAAAAGCAATGCTGGTAGGAAAAGAAAAGAATTGTTAAGAGAGATTGTTAGAACCCTAGATGTTAAGAATTTTAGTCTTTCTGAGTTTAAAGGCACAGACCCTCAAGAGAACACTCCTTTTGACCTGAAGTGGTAGAGAAGGCTTCCAAAATTGATTTATAGCACTAGGATTATAGGTATGTAGTTTGAATAGAAGTGTGTAATATCCCATGGTAGAAAACTTAGAGTTCAATGTTTTAGAATATAGTAGCATATATAAAACAAGATAAAAGTTTTAGAGTAGTAGCTATTCCTTCTTCTTCACCTTCTTCTTCAGAGGCTTAGGTGGTATTATGTAATTAGACAGAAAAGTCTGCATTGTGGGACACAGGTAATTAGTTATTAAGTTAAAAGTAAAAATAACTTAAGTGTCAATTCTTAATTAGATAGTTTTTCCTTAAAAGAGTTTATAGATATACAGAGCCATTTTGTAGCTTGTTAATGAAATACTGTAGAACTCACGTCTGGTAAGACTGTAATATAAATAAGAACTAATAAACATCTGAGTCCAAATACAAAATACCATCTTTGTGCATTTAATGCCAACCCTGACCAAAGCAAAAAAAGAAGCTAAAAATCGACAAGAGATGATATTTTGAAGTACCTTGAGTGTTCCACAGTAGGACTTAAAGGACTCTCTGGTCTTTCCTGCCTGTTAGCAAATAAGTAATTGCTGAGAGTCAGTCAAATGATGAATTGAGACAATGGTTATCTACAAAAGGCTTATTTACTGTGTCTTTTATCTTTGAGGCTGTGATCTTTCTGAGAGGATCTGCAGATGGCTGCCATTTACTAGCCAGATGAACTCATTTACAGGAAAAGGAGAGGCAGAGACACACAGACTGACATTTCTACTGTGTGGTTTGAAGCTACAGTGTAAAGCCTAGGGTCTCTACTGTCCTTGGGATTCTCATCTGTAAAGGTGAGTAAAACACTAAATGGATCTAGAGGAAAAACGACTGCAGAGGATAGATACGGACTATGTTCCATTTCTATGCAGAGATGAAAAGAGGATGGATGCCAGAAGACTGCTGACACACCGTGTCATGACAGTCACTTATGAAGGTGAGATTAATTGGCAGCAGACCAACTTTGAAGGGATCTTGATGGCTGGATATGAATCAGGAGTGTGTGGGTGGCAGTCTGTGGGTGTCTGTTGGCAGGTCTTGGCTGCATGTGGATTCTGTGGAGCACAGCTGAGTGCAAGACAGGCCTTTCTCAGGTAAAGATGGAGAAAGGACATTCAGAGAGAACAATGAGGGGAGGTGGGCAACCTAAGGAAAGGGTAGGAAAAAGATGGAGGAGCAGGTGCTGAAGAAGGGTTGAGAAGGGAGGTAGGAGCAGTGCTAACTTAATATGCAAGCAGTCTATAGCCTTGAAAAGGAGGGCTAGGCAAGACATTTATAATAATTTAATTGAGGGAATGACAGTGATTATCCAGAAGACCTGGCAGGTACCAGTTAGACTGAACAGAGAGAGGGGGGAATGTTTGTGATAAAGAACAGCAGCCAAATGCTTCCTAAATTTGAGGGAGATGCACAAGAACAAAAATGTTTGCAGTGACTTATCTGAATCATTAGCAATGTTCTGCCAGGTCATTTCTGCACTGTCCAGAACTCTTGAATCCTTTACTTGTTTCTCCATTCAGTCTTTTCATTTATTAGCAGTTTTTGGCCTAATCGTGCAGTTTTTATTCAAGTAGATTTCCCTTTCAGTCTCAAATTAGTGAGAGTTTTGCCTAAGTAATGGCTGAAGTATTTGGTTCTTCAAGTTATTATTTCAGTATTGTAAAGCCATTATTCATCAGTAGTCAATTTGTGTGTACCTGTTGTGCTCTACCTGAATTAAAAAAAGAACAGTGCAAGAAACTGTAAGACAAAGCTTGGAGTACTGTCTGTGAGCAGTTCTAAGAATAATTTTTCCTGATGAACAAAATAGAATTAATTTTAAATTAATTTCTAATGTTTATAAAAACTGTAATGTCAGTCAAGGGAGTTGTGCTTAATTGAGCACAAATGGGTTTGTTTTGGTTTTTTTTTTAATAGTTTCACAGTGAAAGAAAATTCAAAAAGAAGTATTTCAGATTCTGAACAGGTATATTCAAACTTTTTCTATGATAAAAGGTACAAATTATGAAGACAGCTGAAGTGACTTGGTGGGTTTCTACAATAATCCGAACATTTTTGAACTCTTTATCATTGTGATGTGAAGGAAGTTTTCCTTTGCTTTGCTCTGCTCTTGGATGTCTACATTTCTGCTGCCCTTAGCATGTGAAGTTCTCCTCATGGCTGTGTCCTTTGCTGAACTTTTCAACTGTGCCACTGGCATCAAAATACATTTTACATTTTCCTCTGACTCTGCCAGCAAATATCCTTCTACGGTCAGCTGATATCAAGGAGATGAGTATCTCTCCATGGGTTGTATAGTTCATTGCAGAGTCTCTCTAATTTAGAATGCATTTTTTACTTTTATCTTCTTTATTTTATGATGACTTTGGTTTTTTTTTCCTTCACATTTCCCCAACTTTTTTTTTGTAGCTGTGTTCACTTACCTTAAACCTGCATTAACTTTTCTCTACCTTATCTGTACTTGTTTTAGAAATTAAAAAAAGCTGGGTGATGTTACCTGTGCTGTGTGATTGGCAAGTACTTTCTTTTGAAAAACAACTGAAGACTATTTTTTACTTTAGATTAATATGTTCTTCAAGATAAGTGAATCTGCATTCTGGCTCAGAAGCTCGTTTCTAGGAGCAGAGACTTTGTTTACTCACTTATTTATTTTCATTGTTTGGTACCATCTGGAGATGACTTATTTTGTGGGAAAGAAAAATGAATCAAACTTTGCAATGATAGAGGACCCCAGGAACTTCGATTACTATCCAAAATATTTTGAGAGCTAATAAAAGCAGACAACATGCCATTTCTTGATGATCTCTCTCCTCTTCACACATTCTTTCAGAGCTAATCCAGTGCTCTGAGAAAGGGTTCTTGTGTTTGATAAAAGGAGTCCTTCATTGTCACAAGCCTTAGCATACTGCTCTAGTACACATGCCCCTGAAACACATTTCATGCCTCATCTGTTACCTAAATGAGATGTGAAAGCATTTCACACCTCGTTTACATTTGCGCAGTTCTACGGAACAGCATCGATGCAATTCCACTGAAAGCAACGAAATGAGGTCACCAACCCCCTTCTCCCTCCTTGTATTGCATCCACACGGCCTGATCCTTTCAGTTCACTAAACTGGACATGAATCTATTTTTCTGAAGAAAGTTACTGCAAAAAACCAGCATCCTCCAGTGTGGGGCAGTCATTGGCATTTTACAGAGATGTAAGCTGTCCACGGTGAAAATAAAAATGTAAGCTATGCATTTACATGAGATATCTGAACCCAGAGTGATTTCTCCTGCACTGAGCAGAATATAATCAAGGTGAATAAACAGGAAAATTGACTAAACTGATATGGGAATAACACCACAAAAAAGGCAGTAAGAAATCTGTGCACTTCCTCTACCCCCTCTTTGGCTGAGTTGCAGCAGAAAACTGCCAGGAGTGTGTCCAAGGTGTTGAGGCCAGCTGAAAGTCAGGGCACATCCACGGCTCTGAAAATCCGAGGTATCCAGATCAATTTCTGGAGAACTGCAGGGATTTTAACTCCAGTGTCTGGGTCCTTGCTGCCTTATATTTTGCACCAGCAGAGACAAGTACAAATTTCTTCCCTTTTAAAAGGAAAACAATTTTCTTCCCTTTTAAAAAGGAAAACACTTTTTTTTCCTTTTTAAAAATCAATTGTTATTTTTGAAACTTTTTGCAAACAACTGTGTAATGGAGGACAGTGAAGGTCCAAGAATGTAGTGACACAAATTCAGCCACTTCTGTTCTTTCATCAGCTGAGCTCCCAGTGTTGAAAATAGTGGAAATAGAAAGCTTGCAATGTGTCATCTCTGTTTGTAACCTTGCTGTTTCAAAAGACACAAACTGAAAACACTAACTTTCTTTGTCAGGGAGTCCTTGTTTTTCTTCTAGTGCTCTATGTTTTTTATGTGACCAGGATGCTTTCGCTGGACTTCACCTCATGTAATTCTGAGAGTATGAAAAAACCATTTAAATCTGAGCAGTCAGACTTCACTGCTGCTGTGAATGGAAAGAGACCACATCTCAATATCATGGCTATCTTCATGGGAGAAGAGGGAGCAGGGTATAAAGCAGGATAAGAGGTGAGACCCTTTTACTTTCTGTGTCTACTAAGGAAATCTAAGTTGCATGTGTTTGTACTTATGTTAGGTGAGATGAATCCCTCTCCTTTACCTTCTAATGTAAGGAAGACATTAGGATAAAGCAGAAAATTCTCATATTTTCCTGAGATGATGCTATACACATGTTTTCAGTGTCCTGCACCAGAGATGCTAATGGTTCTCATTTCATTTGACATCTACAGGAGAAGCAGATCAGGGATGTCAGTGCATAAACAAAGAAGCAAACAAACCAAAGCTGTCTTAGCTTCCACCTTGTGTCAGCAGAAATATTATTGGCCAAGTGAACAAAGATAAAATCTTTTGAGGAAGAAGTGCTGTTTCCAAGCTTTATAAGAGGAATCACAAACATTAAGAATTAATTAACTGGGGAATACAAAATACTGGTTGTGTTTGCAAAAATAACGAGAGGCAATGTAGTGGGCATGATGGAAACATGTGAAAATAATGTGCTGAAGTGCTTGTCTTACAAGGCTCTGGGGTTAAATCACTACATGAGCATGAAGATTTAATGATTTAGGTATCTTTTAATAGTTGTCTCTTTGGCTCAGTTCTGTCTGTGCTGTGGCCCCTCAGGCACCACTGGAGGAGGTGCTTGGAGCGATTTGCAGGATGCCTCTCGTTGTGTTCAGGTGTAATGAAACAGGGAAAATCGTTTGGTTTGCTCCGTTGTTCAAGCATGTACCTAGAAATAGTGTTAATGCTTTTCTCTCTCTCTGCTCAACCTTTTATGTTTTTCTGTTAGTATGTGCCTGTTTTTTCTGCAGCTTTCAGGCAGGGCCGGTTCGTGAGGTGTCTGTCCTAGGCTATGAGGCACTTGCATACATGGATTAACACAGCTCGGAGCAGATTTGAAGCACCTTTCTCTTGTGTGGGCAAGTGTTTTGGCTGCTTCACTGGGGAGCAGTGCCATGATGACTACATTACTACTGATAAAATAGCCTCCCCTTATTCTGCAGCTTGTCTCACCATTCAGAAAAATCACAGCCCAGTGCTTTTTCTGGCCTGCGTAATGCTAAAAGTGTCAGGTGTATATTTTGTTTCCCATTTTTGTTGTATTTTGCTTTGCTTTTATTTTGTTCTGGCTGCAACATGTTGGAGGATTTAAGCCGTGATTCCACCCCCTCTTTTGCTCTGCAAAGAAACCTTCCTGAGAAATAGCCTGGGAACATGATACTCCTTCAATTCATATCTGGAAACACTGAAAAGAAGCAGTATACTAATTGATGAGGAAAAATATCTCCAAAGCTAAAGTACTCTGTGTGGATGGACTGGAAATATTTACAGTGAACCCTGCCAGATCTGAGGAATTAGGTGCAGTGCCTACTTTTACAGTGAGAAATTTGACCAACTTTAAAAGTACTAAGGAGATTTATTCACAAACTCCTGGAAATCCTGTATTTGAAGTTGTTTCAGGTCAACATAAATGGGGAAAGCACTTAAATGGGGAAAGTGACATTTTCCCTGGCTTGGCACCAAAGTCCTACTAGTGATCTAAATTGTAAAGCTAGATGTTATGAAAGAACTTCACTGAGCATATTCTTCAGGTTAGTGTAAAGGTCAAAAGTGAGCATCCTTGAAGGGTTCATGTTCATCTGTGGTTAAAAAGTTTCTTAGCTTTAGCTCTGCAGTTTCCATGGCTAATCTCAAATCTGCCAGAGCTCTGCACCAGTTGCTTGCAAGTGTAGGAGAGTTTGCACAGGAACTCTCCATACTCTAAGCTTTTGAGCAATAAAAATAATCAGACTTGAGATGTAGTCATATCTGCTGAAAAAAAAAAAAACTACATGAAGGTCTCTTGGAGCAGTCTTGGACCATCACAGCTCTATCACAGGCCAGGCTGATGCCACCACAAATGCTAAACTAGCAGCTTCTGTGGAGCAGAAGAGACAGGAAAAAAGAATGGTAAGGGGAAAAATATGGAAGAGGATGTCTCCTAAGTGGATAACAGGATAAATGAAGAACTGGAGATGTAAAAATGTTTGAAAAAGGAAGCTGTGTTGTTAACTAAGGCCAAATAATTCTGATTTTGCCTAGTAAAGCACCACTTCTCTGTAATGATGAATTTTTTTTGTGCAAACTTCAGCATTGGAAAGA